CACTACTGTCGCTATTCAGTATGATTACTGAATATTTATTAGCTGACGTTTGTGCTGTTCACCACTGGGTCACCAAGAAAGCGACTGCAGGACACAAGTGACCGCATGAGTCTGTGTATGATGATCACTTTTGTCACACAGCTGCTGGTATGCAAGCAGTGAGGAGTGAACGGGCTGTCACTCCCACTGTCACCAGCACCTCTTTTGCTTGTCACATTTTTCCTGCATACCACTGCCTTCAGGAGCCCCCAGCCCTTCCCTGGGTGTTGCTGGGAGATGGCAGACGTGCCACATCAGTCTGCCTGCAATTAATCATTCAAAACTGCCAGCACAAGCAGTGAAACAGCACGCTCTGATCCCACTGCAGAGATCCCCCATGGCAGAGAGCAGTGAAGGTCACCACCAGCACACAACAGGCCCTGGGCAGGCCAGTTGGTAACAGACCTGCAGACACAGCACAGGGGGGTGAGCCCAAGCAACCTCCTGCATTGCGAGGTCACTGGCTGTTGAAAGGATTCTAGTGTTTCCCTGTAAAAACCCCTGAGTGTACTCTCTTCAGAACCAAGTCCATGGACTAGGAAACAACAATGAGCAGCCAAACTTTTCCTACAGTTCTCAAGTTCAAGTTAGGTAGCGGTGCCAGAGGCTTTCATCAGATGAGTAGAAACTATTTGCACATTGAGTCTTGTTCTTAACACTCCTCCTGGATCTGCAGGTTGACAAGAAACACACACACAAAAAAGTACTCAGCCATTTGCCCAGAATCTGCAGGAGACTTTGGGAACTTCCTCACTAGAAGTCATAGAGACAGAGAATGGTTTGGGCTGGAGGGGACCTTAAAGATCATCTACATCCAACCCCTGACATGGGCAGGGACACCTCCCGCTAGAGCAGGCTGCTCCAAGCCGCATCCAGCCTGGCCTTGAACACTGCCAGGGATGGGGCAGCCACAGCTTCTCTGGGCACCCTGTGCCAGTGCCTCAGCACCCTCACAGGGAATATAAACAATAAGGAAAAGGAGCAACGTGAGACAGGACCTTGTCTGGGGGGCTTGAAAACAAAGCTCCCCAAACCCCCCCAGCCACATGAGCACAGCCTGCTCCGAGCCCAGGCCGGGGCAAGCAAACATGGCTCTTGTCAGTGCCTGCCCCTGGTTTGTCAGCCCTGCACTGCACAGCACACATTTCACCAGGCACTGTGCTGCATACAGGGCTCCTGGCAGCGCCCGGTGAGAGCCGGGTTCAAGCCAGGCAGGGCTCAGCCTGAGCCACAGCTCAAAGGTCACAGCATCACCACAGCAGCCACAGCGCAGAGTGGGCAGGCAGCTGTGCAGAGCCACTTACAGCGTCCCAGCAGCTCCATCTCCCTGTGTAGCTGCTGAGTAGGAGTTGTGGCGTGATGTTTAGGAGGGGCTTGCAGGGACAGGCTTTGAGCAGAACCCCTAGCAAGCCATCAGCAGTCACTGCGCCTGGCTTGGGTTTTTTCTGACATTCACTGGGCACCAGAGGACAGGAGCCAAAGCCATGGAAGTATCAAAAATACTGTCTGTTCATCAGTCTGTTGAGCCCTTTTCAGCATCTGTTGACGACCTCCTCCTGCCTCTGCAGCGAGCAGCACTCCCTAAAGAAACAGGCGTGTCCATGGTAGGAGTCAACACCTCATCCCTGATGCCAGGCTGGTCCATGCAGCTCACTGTGACAGCTCCTCTTGCATCATGAGCTTAGTAAGGATGCTGCAGCAGTTACCCAGGGCCATTCCCAGAGTGACATTAACCAAACTGTACTACAATGAAAGAAAAAAAAGAAAAAAAAGGATTTGTCCCTGCAAACCTGCCACCTCCTACATCAGAGCCAATGCAGTGCTGAATGGTGCAGGCAAAGCCACAGCAATCCTGGGGCAGGACACTTCTTGGGTAAGCCCTTTAAGCAGATTTGGGAATAAGGATCAGCATTGCAGGAGCCCCTGGTCAGCAGAGCTCCACAAGAAGCTGCGATATTGGAAGCACCACTGCCCATCATTGAAATCTTATGTCTGTCGCTCAGAAATCCTCTTTGATTTCATTAGAAGCATCAAAATGCAACAGGGAATTCCTGATCCTGTCCATGTGGCTACAGACAACCAGCTAAAGGCCAAAGTTACTGTTCTTCAAAGCAGGCACATGTGCTCCACACTGAGATTTAACTGCATTTTAAGATGAAAATCCTCAGTTTAAGATGTTGGTTAGCAGAGCACAGCTCCAGCCTCACGGCTTGGGTAGCCTTCAGCCCTAGAGCCAGCGGACGGTGCGTACCCGCCGTGCCCCTCAGCGCGCACATACACACAGTTTATCCACACGTGCAGTGCTCCCCGGCCCCACCAGCCCCCTCCTGGCAAACACATCCTCTGCTACACGAAACGTTAACACACCAGCGCCTCCGGTGGGTGCTTCTCTCCCGGGAGCTCTAGAGAGCACAGCGACAGGAACATTAACACTTGCTGACTCGAGGGCTCCACCAGGAGGAAATCCAGCCCAGTTCATTCCCTCGGAAGGGCTGATGGGAGGTGCTCCCCCAGCAGGCTGGGGGTGACTGGCAGGGAGGCCAGACTTGGGGTTTAACAGCGCTCAAAGGCAAGGAGGAGGAACGCGGCAGAACTGGACTGGTGCAGTGTCAGCTGGCCAGGGGCTGGCTCCAGATGTGCTGCCACACACCGTGTCCTCATCTGCTGCTAAATCTCACCAGCCCAGAAACAGGGCCTTCAGGCTGCAAACAGACAGAGTGAACTTGCTAAGTGCCCTGTCTTCACCCACTTTCTTCACTTTCCCAGCAAGGGCTGGGAATAGTCACTAATACACTGCACTCCACAGTGGTTTTACGATCAGAGAGCAGGGCTGGGCGCACACTGTCCACTTGTGACATCAAGTCATGAGTTTGGTAGGACCCACACGTCCGCTTGAATGAGAATCAGTCTTTTTGAAGCACGATGGCCACAGTGTGAGACACACAGAGCCAGACCCAGCTTGTGCACCAGAACCCTCAGCAGCACATGGGTTCTGCCCAAACCCAGCACTGGGGCAGAGTGAACCTTATGCCCTGCATGCCTGCCTCAGGGAGCCACAGGGGCAGCAGGGACAAGACTTCAGACGTGACACCCTCGAGGGTGTGGACACCATCATGTGTGAACCTCAGCCAGCACAGACCATGGTGCCCAGGGCTGGGCTGCAGGCAGGCCTGGGGCTGAACCCTACACTGTGGGGCCCAGGCACAGTCAGAATTCCCAATGCAAGGGCACAGTGCCCTAGACAGATCAGATACCACCCACCAAAATTACATTTCTGGAGTGTTTCCTCTTTGAACCTAGGGGACTCCCAGGAAATTTCTTCTTGAGCCAGAAGATTCCAGAAAAAAAGTATGTGTTTGCTCCCTAAACTGCAAACGCCATTTCTGAGAACAAAACCCAGCAAGTTGAGAGCTCACTAAGTGCAAGACAGCGTATGGAGCACTCCTAACTCTCTCCCGTGACCCAAAAGCTGTGAACACCAACTTACTCTGGCATGGCCCAGTTTCATCATTTTGGATATCTCATAAGAAAGCATGTAAGAACAAACAAAGGCATGCACCTCTCCACATTCAAGTTTTATTGAAACTATACACATACTATACACACAAACGGGAGCTGCTGTACCAGAATTTGGTATCTCCTGTGCATTTACAAAACCTGAGCACATAGCAGTTTCATATTTGGATATTCTGTACACTCTCTTCCTAATTCACAATACTCAAAACAAACGCTTTTTCACAGTTTTAGTGACATAAAAATAGGTTCCATTCCTCCAATAACAGACCCATGTACAAAATTTTCTCTTTTTCCCCCAGTACCACAGTATTTCCAAAAGGTGCTGGATTTTCTCTCTGAGCCCACAGTTCTCTTGCAGTTGCAGGGCACTAGTGAAGGACACCAACGCCAGCTTTTCTCTGTATTCTCCAAGATCCCTTCTGCCCTATGTACTTTACGTCAAATGAAGCAAGCACTTCTGTAGGCTGCTTCCATGCCCATTACATACTCACGATCTTTTACTGAGACCAAACAAAAGAGTCAGTTCTGCTGCTCATTTTGACACCAGGGACAATTGTTCCCTACAAACTATGCTAAAGCAGTGGACCTGTTTCCTGGAACTCAGCTACCCAGGGCTATCTATGCCTGATGTGGGCTGGCAGGGAAATAACACTCCTACCACTCCATCACCGATAACCCTGGGCTGTCAGGTCATCTCATGGCAGGCATATCGAAAGCAGAACAAGATGTTTGCAACAGTAAGAAAGACTTATAAAAGCTCTTATACAAATTGCTGAACATTATGAAAAAATGCTTGGGTTTAATGAAGCAGAACCCTTTGTCCAGCTCATGTACACTCACTTCAGCTTTGGAAAAAAAAAAAAAAGAACATATCTATTTGCAAATAATCCACCTACAACTGAATAGTATCTCTTCCATCCCAAGTACCCCTGCAGCATGCTTGCCATTATCACATTGCTTCATTTTGCATGTGACATCAAGAACTTAAAAAGAACAACTTCCAGACACACACTGAACACACCAAAACCCAAAGAGCAGTCCTCTGTGAGAGGCCGCTGAGCCACGCTACTTCAAGATTTGGTTTTAAAAGGTTTAATGCCTTCCTCCAGAATCGATTCTGTGATGGCTTCAATGGTTCACATTAAACACACAACTTGAAGTACCTTCACACATTACTGGTGCTTCCTTACAGCCTAAGCAGTATGTTTGTAGCACCTCCAGGGATAATTCTTTGGAATGATATGCCTTCTCACCCCACCAATGCACAAGTGAAACAGAGAAGGGGAACATATTAAACCACCCAGCATGACAAAGGGAAGACAGATCACACCCAGAGCTGGCTGTTCCAGTGTCAATGCTGACTGCAACTCAGCACAACTACAGACTGCTTAATAAGGCACTTATTCAGAGAAGCATGGAAAAACAAGGAGCACAAGCCAAAGACATACAGGATGTGTTTTTTCTCTGCTATTAACAGGCTTGCCTTTTCAAGGAGCATTGAAAGTCCACTGACCTGCTCAGTAACAGCTGTAAGACAAAAATCATATGTATTTGATTTAAACTCCCACCAACAGCCATCGGTTTTGCAACCAGAGTAAAACATTTCCAGATAGAACCCAAGTTAATGGGAAGATCAAATTGTATCCCTGGATTTAGTAAGATTTTATAGTTCACAGGTTGTATCTCCCCACAATCACTTATTACTCTATCTACAGCAAGATGAAAGGGAAGAGCTTTTATTCTAAACCAACTCTATAAACATGAAAACAGAAACCATGAAAATCATTTATAGCAACATATATACAGAGTGGTACCTTATCTGGTTTTCAGATTAAAATCCCATAACATGAGGTAAATACACAGTTTGCTTTCTTAAAGTACTACCAAAGTCTTAAAAAAGTAGTTGTAACCAGGTGATTTTTAAAGACAGCAATCACAGCAGATGAATCAAGGGAATTTTCAAGAGGCAATCCTCCTAAAAAGCCATATAAAAAGGACACCCCCCCCCCTTTTTTCCCTTAAATGGCACATAGAGAAATATATTTACCTCTCTGACAAACAACATGAAAACCCAGGAAAAAAAATCCCAGTAGACTCCAATTCCAGGAGAGAAAACAGAGACAACTTCACAGCAGAAAGTGAAATGGGCAGAGGGAAACAGTCACCGTTCATTTGCCAAGTCATCAAAAATCTGCATCCAGAGTGAAGACATTGTCCATTGTTTCTGCCATAACAGCAAAACGTTGATATTCCGAAACCCGCTTCTCAAAGAAATTTGTTTTTCCTTCCAGAGAAATATTTTCCATGAAATCAAAAGGATTTTCTGCATGAAAGGCCTATGAAAGGGAAACACCATTACACTGGTGATTCTGAAAGGGTAACAGTGCTTTAAAAACTCCAACAAACAAAACAGCCAAACCCTTTCAAACTATCTCATCCCTTGCTGCAATATGCTGTAGGATCTATGGACCCCTATCTAAGCAAATTCAGTACTGTCACTCCTCAGGAGATTGGTCTGTGGTGAAGTTCACCAGCGCAAGGTTCTTACTACCCTTGGAGGACCACAGCACTTGAGCTTCCCATTACAAACCTGCAGAGCAGCTGAAGGGGAACAATGGCATAAATTGTTCTTGCTCTTTTAAATAGCGAAGGATATACATTAGTGCTGTGGTTTTAGCTGTCACTCACAGAAAGTGGAAACACTAAATATGACCTGCTCCCAGGCACATCAAGAGTGCTTTGTGCTGACAGCTCTCCTGGACTGCCAGGGCAGGCCAGCACTTCAGGCAAATGCACCTCTTACCTTTGAGAACCCAAGTTCCATCAGTAACCGGTCTGCGACAAATTCAATATATTGTTTCATCAAAGTGCAATTCATTCCAATCAGACCTACAGGTAGTGCCTCTGTTAGAAACTCCTACAAGTTAAAACACAGGCAACATTTAGAGAAATGAAATTTAAGAAGGAAAAAGGAAAGAAGACACCTGTGTTTCACAGTAACATGATTTGTGATATTCCAGGCTCCTCAGGCACTTGGTCTGAATAAATAACTTGTATCATTAAACTCAACAAGTGTCTTCTGCTTCCAGTAGTTGTTTGTACCTTCCTTTATTTTTAGCACATTTTTCTGGAAAAGGCACAAGAATTTCTATTACTGCCCCTATCGTTCTGCCTTCCTCCTCCTCCCTGTAAGATCCCAAGCTTCAGTGTAAGCCCAAACTCCAACTTCCACAAAACCTACAGACCATATGAATGGGAGCAGGAATAGATCCAGAAAACTACTGTTTTCCTTGGCTTCCAGCCATTATGGAACAACAGATCAGAGAGGACAGTGATTTATGTAAGTGCTGAACACAGCCACATACATACTTAGGCACCAATGCAGTATCTATCAGTGAGGCAAAGCCAGAGCGTTTGTCATCATCACAGTAGTTAAATGACAACAGAAAAGAAACAGTAAACTACAGTCCTGCCAAACACCCAGCAGTGCAGAAACTTGTAGTTGCAAATGGGTAGCAGCTCATGTGAAAGAACCTGACAGCAGCCTCAGAACTCAGCATAGTGACTTGCGGCCACAGCAGACCCTGTCTTCTCCTGAGGATAGGCGGGGATGTGCATACAGTAGGGAGAGACAAAGATCCTGAAAGGACAGAGGTAACAAACCCTTCTCTAAGAGACGGTTGTGGTTGAACTACATGGAACTATTCTAACCTACCCTATCCTATCCTAAAGAAGGCAGCCTTTCTTACTTTCTGTCATTAAGGAGGAACCAGCTGCCAGCTTCAGCTTCTCCCAGTTGCTTGACAGCTGAATCAGGAAGTCTCCGATTCTTACTGTCACCATCAAGGAAGAGAGAAAGGATCCAGGTCTGAGCCAAGTTTCAAATATGGAATCCCAAAAGGTAGAAATTAACTTGCTTATTTATGCAGATAAGACTGATCCCTCACTGCCCACAGTGCTGTCACGGCCAGGCTTACCTGCTCGATTTCAACAGCGTTAACGATGATCTCATGGACCCGCTCTTCTGACGGCCTGTTCACTAAATAATGGAACATGAGACAAGCAAAATCACAGTGTAGACCCTGAAGTAACAGAGAACATGAGAAAAAAAAGTCAGCTTTTCCTTCCTTCACATAGTTTGCTCTTACTTTGAGGCTGCTTCATTCAGGTTGAAGCTTCCTAGCCTCCTGCTTCTTTGACAGTGTTAATGTTAGTACACGTAGCAGGCACTTTTAGTTTACAACCCAGTTAATAACATCTGAAATCCAGCACGTGCCACCTATGCCAAAGTAATGCTCAGCATACGTATTTCTCAGGTAAATACTTTTTAGAGCTGCTCTACTGCGAGCGATCCTTAACAGAGCCCTGCTGCGTCCCTGCCTTCCACCAGAGATGCTTCTGCAGAAAATCTCCTACATCAAGATCTGCAAAACTACCTGCCAGTTAAGGTAGGCTGTTTATCTGCTCTCCACTTGGAGATACCTGTACAGAAATACTTGGTTTAAGTTCCTTCAGTAGCATTCTTCTCTTGCTTCTCCTCACAGCGTTTTCAGAAAGAAAGATTTAGATTAGAGTCACAAAATCCAAGAACAAGTCTCTCCACACAATGTGCAGTTACTGTGAGGAATTTGCTACCACAACATGCATAATTTTTGATACTTAAGACTACTGTGGGCCCAACTCAACCCACCCTCACATCGACCCCGCTATCCTGCACGAGGCCAGTAAACTCTGCTCATTCCCAAGACTTCCAGAAAAGCCTCCAGCCAGGACAAGACAACACCAGGAAAGACAAGCAATCCATCTCAGTCTGAGGGGGATTCCAGACAGCTGCTCTGCAAGGTGCCTCCATTTTGACTGGCTACAGCTTGAGACTCTGGCATCAGCCACACCTACTGCTGCTAGACTAAAGCAGCACTGTGCTACTGCCTCTCCTCCTGACAGCAAGGTGGTGATTACAGCCTATATGGACCATTAGGGCACATCCAGAGTGAAAACCCATCAGAAGGATTTGGTGGACGGTGGGCTATGAGACAGCGCTCCGCTATTGTTAACAACAGTCAAAACAAATCCAAGAAGCAAAAGGTTTTTCAGAAAGGCTACAAAATCCTTGAGATTCAGGTCATGAAACAGCCCTGAAATAACGTAATTTGAGAAATACTCCTCCTCTAGGGACAGCACTAGGTGCCTGCTGCAGGGCTTCCGTGGTCTTGGTCAGGGCAACATCACCAGCAGGCTGCAGGATGTGCCTTGCTCCTCCCTGAAGTGGCGTGCTGCCCTGACTGGTGCTCCCAGCAGCTTTGCACCTTTAAGAATCAGAATTGTACCAGCTCAAAAAACAGCCCAAGAACACACCCTACAGCTCAAAAAACATTAAGCACCAACAATTTTATCTGTTCAGGTGCATCAGAAAAGAGTTTCTGTACTTTTCCACTGTGGATTCTTTTTACTGCCACTGCTTCTGTAACAGCATTTCCTGGTTTTTGGTGCAGGTGCTGTGTGCACCAAGCCTTACGCTTCGTAACAGCTCTGCAGCTGGAATTATGCCAGTGGAGCTCAAGAAAAAAATTAGTCTTTTGGTGCTCAATTTTGCAAAGAAGTGCAGTTACACTGCTGTATGGAGGAACTTAAATCTCATTCACCTGAGAGTGACCCTTCTGACAAATACGCTTCACTTGAGTGCATCAGTTCACAGTGACTCACAGGAACAAAAGACACACGGAAGGCCAAGGCTGAAGAACTGTTTTGTTTTGCTTACTGGTCGTATCACTTTCTTCAAAAGTGTCTTTTAAACTAAAGGCATCTTGCAAGATGCCTCTTTTCAAAGCAGTTTACCTAATACATGGAAATTACTTACATTATGATAAAGGTCTCTATTCTTTTAGACCAACTCTGGTAAATTCAAACCACTAGCATGTTTATACTGCATACAAAACTGGTCTTTCCGCTTCTTCTGTGCTGACAGCACCATAAGATGTGGGGTACCTCAAAGACAGGCCCCAACCATAAGCAACTGCTGCCAACTGGCAGGCAGCAGTGCAGGAAGCAGTGAAAAGCAAAGGCACTTGTCAGCACATGGCCTGACACATTCAATGTACAGCCCCTCAGATACATCACATCTTAAGCTAAGAAGCACTCACCTCTAATGCAGATTTGTAGCTGCCCACACCCAGGAAGTTCTACTGCTGTGCAGTAACACCAGAACATGGAGAGGAACGGTATCTGCTGCTTGTGCAGCACCCTAACGCAGCTAGCCAAGTGATGGATGCAGGTGGCCATCTGCAAGCTCTGGGACACACAGCTAGGGGCTGTAATGGGGAGTGGTACAAGGAGACCACTTGGACCTGACAAAAGCAGTTAAGGTACAGCAAGGCTCACACATGTCCTAGTGAGCTCCTTGCTCAAGACAGCCAACACTGCAGTTGGAAACCATGGAATTCCACACCAGTCCTTGGGCAGCCAGGCACAGGAAAACAAATGTCCCCTTCAATCAAAAATGTCCACCTTTTAAGTCATACTTAAGTCATACTATGCGTAAGAGTATTGCTAATATTTATATTTACTCCCCTTGCTGCTGAGGAACACAGCATCTTCATTTATATAATTCTGCCTTTCCCCTGGAAACCCACCTTTCTTCCCAGACAGTATGTAGGACACCACACATTACCTCATCTCTGCTAATAAGTTCATTGGAGAAGGTCAGCCCTGGCATCAGGCCCCTCTTCTTCAGCCAAAATATAGCAGCAAAGGAACCCGAAAAGAAGATGCCTTCAACGGCAGCAAAGGCAACCACTCTCTCACCTGTTTAACAGAACACATTTTCAGTTAGACACAAAACAGTGTATTGCTTGTCAGCAAGATGCACCATTTGCATCAAACAGACTGATGCTGGAGAGGAGCAATCCCCTTTGCAGCACCAGGTGCTGTATTTGACCACATCTTTCAGCAGATCTCAAGGCACATGGGGTCTACAACAGCACTTAAACACAGGCAGTGCCAGCAGAACTGAAGAACCAGAGCACCCACTGAAACTGCCACAGGTCAGAAGGAAAAGAACATATCTATCCAAAGTGGGCAGGACATTGGTACTTCTTTATCTCTTTCTCCTAAAAGGCAGGAAAATGGATGTGTAATTAATAGACAAAACCAAGAGAAGAGATGGTCTCCTATAAATTAAACTAAAAGCCCTACATCTCAATCTCTACTTGTTGAGAATCTACATAAAACCATATTCTTACAAGAGTGAAGTACACATAATGTAATTCATCAAGACACAGATAACTACTTACGTTATCCCACCTTTCATCCAAGGATGAACTACTGGTCCCAGTTCTCCCTGTTTTCTACAGGAATGTATTTCTTCAGACTCCTAAAACCACCTGACTGCCTAGTGAAGACACATCATTCCATGTACTCTATTTTTAACAACTTCACAAGAGCCTTGGATAAATTCTAACATAAAAGCTTATGCATTAAGTGCTGGTGCCTTTTCACAGTAAAAACTGCACAGAATTTTCTTTAAAAAAATAAAATAACTCCTAACAGCCAGATGTTCCAGTTCCCCTACGAGATGCAAATGCCATCTACTGGCTCATCTGAGGAAATTCAAGTCAGCAAAAAGCACGCAGAGCAATACAAACTGTAAGTATCAAGAAGTTACTAAGGAAAGAATTTGTCTGGCAACACTAAAAATCTCCTAGGTCACTTCTAGAGAGGAATGGAGCAAAGCTGCTCATACTATATAGATTCAGTGAAGGACAAGACTTCGATGATTTTTACTACACTACTGACAAGATTTTTACTACATTCCACCTAACTAGCTATCATACAAATGAGTTACGCTGAAACAAAAATCACCCATCTGCAGCATCACATAACTTGAGTGCACAGTGGGAGACCACAGAACAGGTACAACAACTGAAACCTCAGCATAAGAAACCAACCAAACTGTGGAGACCTGGCTACAGGGCAGGTCCCCAAGCTGTAAGGAAACACCAAGCAAACAAGCCACTCGGCCACTTCCATATGCCATATCTCCATATGATATATCTGTAAGACCTGGGCCTCCCAAATGTTTTAAATCTGGGAAGTTTTCTCAGTAAGGTTAAAAAAGAGAAGAGGAAAAATGCACCTTACAAAAATTTGGATAGGATACATGAAGTTTGGAGGCGCAGAGGGGAACAGTCTTTTGAGTTAGGGAGCCTTCTGATTCCTGGCACACCCCATGCTGCTGGGAGCAAAATGAAGGAGATGAAGAAGGGACTCCATACACAGCAAGCAAAGCCACACGGGGGAGGTAGTGGGACACTCCAGGGCAGGAGGATCTACAGCTACAGAAAGAACTCCACTCAAAAATGAGCTGTGAACAACAGATGATGCAAAAAAATGATATTCAGATTTATTTTGTTTGTCTGGATGAGTGTCTCCATCTCCTACACTTTCTCTGTTTGGTTTAAAAAATTCGCCAGACTCTGCTCATTATGCATTTCAGCTACAACACGTCTTTCAGAGTCAACATTGTAATCTGAATGCAACTGAATGCAACACTGGAAAGGATGCTCTGTGCTATGCTGATGGAAGATCAGCCAGTGTCCCAGCTCTGAAATGAGATACAAAAACTAGAAACCTGGTCCCAACAGCAAACCAGAAACACCAGAGACGGATGATTTTTGAACCTTTTTCACCCAGACTCAGTCATGCTGTTACAAAAAAGGCTAACTACATACATTTGTCTGTATAAACACAGAAAAAGCTTGGACTTCAGCTGCCCAGTTCTGCACACTAAGAGCCAACTGGAAGAAGCAAGTAGAACCCCTAGAAAATAAGGCCTACAAGCAAAACCTGAGTAAAGTAGCATAAAGACAAAAAAGACAGAGAAGTCCACAAGCATTTTTCATAACACAATTCTAGTGGGCACTGACATTACAATATTGCTTTAGCTGAAGATATAAATACACATGCTCAGTGAAAGTGACTTCTAATTCTTGAGCTAAATCAGAGACCCAGAAGCCACTACATCATCTGTGGAGAATTTATTTCATGTTCCAGGGATGCAGCTCACTTCCAGAGGATTAGTTTGTGACATGTGACAGGAACAAATTTTTAAGAAGCTACACACCAAAAGTGGATTCTCTGTCATCAATCCACTTCAGAGCCCAATCTGCTTTCTTCTTGACACAAGGCATTGTTTCAACAGCATTAAATAAGTAATCCCTATAAAAGAGAAGAAACAGAAAACATCAATATAATAAAAAGTGACTGATGTAAATCTGCCCTGGCTGTCCACACTGGCTCCACCAGAGGAACCCATTATGCCAGGCTCTGAACTAATCCAAATAAGAGACTTTCGACCCACAAGGGGCAATCATCTGTTCTGGTTTTGTCTGGGAAAGAGTTAATTTTCTTCCCAGGAGCTAGTACAGTGCTGTGTTTTGGATTTAGGGTGAGAATAATGTTGATAACACACTGATGTTTTAGTTGTTGTTGAGCACTGCTTATACTAAGTCAAGGACTTTTCAGCTTCTCACACCACCCCACCAGCAAGCAGGCTGAGGGCACAAGAAGCTGGGAGGAGACACAGCCAGGACAGCTGACCCAAACTGGCCAAAAGGATATTCCATACCATATGAATGTATATTCACGAGGAGAAAGCTGGCCTAGGGCCACTGCTCAGGAACTGGCTGGGCAGGTGGTGAGCAATCACATTATGCATCACTGGTTTTGCATATTCTAATTCTTTTATCACCACTGTTGTTATTTTCCATTCCTTTTCTGTCCCATTAAACTGTCTGGATCTCAACCAGTGGAAGGGGAGGAGAGGAGTGAGCAAGTGTCTGTGTGGTGTTTTGCTGCCTGTCGGGTCAAACCACAACATGATCTCTGGTAACAAGGGCACAAGGAGGCAGACGTGCAGAAAACAACAATACCAAGGTCTCAAGAGGAGGTGAGCTGCAGAGATGGGAAATGAAGTCAGATGTCCCATCCCAGAAGTGACCACTCACCGGACTCCAAGCCAGATGGCAGCTACTTCCTACCCACAGAGCTAAACCTTGTCTTGCCCAGCTCCACAAAAGGAACTGGACAATTCCCATGAGCACAGGCTCTGTTCCCAGGCTAAAACCCTGAAATGAAACCTTGCAGTCCTCGCACTGTTACCACACAGGATGCTACCATGGGATACCAAGCTCTCCCTGACATCACCACTACGGAGTCTCTGAGGGGAAGTGCTTCTTTTCAAATGTATTACCATTTGCACTAGGAAGCTCTACAGACAACAAAGGTATGGGGTCTCCAAAGAATCCAATACGTTAAAAATAAACAGTTCAAGTCATATGAAAAAGCACTGACAACAAAAAAGCTGTCAGGATGGCAGTACATTGATTACTGTATGGTAGAAACACCAGCTGGATCACAAGCACTCGATTTCCTGAGGCAGATCATTTGCTGATGTGACAGCAAGCACCTCAGGAACGTAATAACCACAAGGAAACTGTCTAACAGCATTTCAGATAGTCCACGCTTCCTGCAATCAAAGATTTATACAAGTGTTAACTAACTTTCTGACAGTCCCACACAGGTCTGTTGGTCGGTGACATGTCCCTGTATTTTGGGGGTGAGGCATGCAAGTCTTGAAAGCTTTAAGGGGCTGGCCCCAACTCCCCTAGTAAGTCAGTATGAAAGCAGAAGGCAGCTGCTTGCTCCTACTGCCCAACAGTGGTGCCCCCAGTCTAGGTGACAAGATTTCCCAAAGGCCATTAACACACCCAGAGGTTTACCTTTTCTCAGGATCTTTGATGTAGGTGTCTATGAGCAAGCTGTACATCTCTGAGTGAACGTTCTCAATGAGAATCTGAAAGCCATAGAAACAACGGGCTTCTGGGATCTGCACCTCCTGACTAAAACGTGCCACCTGCCAAAACCAGAAACCATGGCAATGAGGACAGTAAAACCAGTTCTGCACGACAGTACTGTAAACTTAATGGGACAAACAATAGATCTCTACCCTGAAGAAAGGATGGGAGCTATCTGGTGGACAAAGAACTGGCTGGATGGCTGCACACAAAGAATTGTGGTCAATGGTTCAATGTCCAACTGGAGACCAGTAACAAATGGTGTCCCTCAGGGATCAGTGTTGGGACCAGCCTTGTTCAACATCTTTGTTGGTGACATGGACAGTGGGATTGAGTGCTCCCTCAGCAAGTTTGCCGATGACACCAAGCTGTGTGGTTTGGTTGATACGCTGGAGGGAAGGAATGCCATCCAGAGGGACCTTGACACACTTGTGAGCTGGGCTGATGCCATCCTCATGAAGTTTAACCATGCCAAGTGCAAGGTCCTACACCTGGGTCGGAGCAATCCCAGACACAGCTACAGGCTGGGCAGAGAAGAGATTCAGAGCAGCCCTGCGGAGAAGGACCTGGGGGTGCTGGTCGATGAGAACATGAACATGAGCTGGCTTCAGTGTGAGCCTGCAGCCCAGAAAGCCAACCGTATCCTGGGCTGCATCAAAAGGAGCGTGACCAGCAGGTTGAAGGAGGTGATCCTGCCCCTCTACTCTGCTCTCGTGAGACCTCACCTGGAGTATTGTGTGCAGTTCTGGTGTCCTCAACATGAAAAGGACATGGAACTTTTGGAACAAGTCCAGAGGAGGGCCATGAGAATGATCAGGGGACTGGAGCACCTCCTGTATGAAGCTAGGCTGAGAAAGTTGGGACTGTTCAGCCTGGAGAAGAGAAGGCTGCGTGGAGACCTCATAGCAGCCTTCCAGTATCTGAAGGGGGCCTATAGGGATGCTGGGGAGGGACTCTTCATTAGGGACTGTAGTGATAGGACAAGGGGTAATGGGTTAAAACTTAAACAGGGGAAGTTTAGATTGGATATAAGGAGGAAATTCTTTCCTGTTAGGGTGGTGAGGCACTGGAATAGGTTGCCCAGGGAGGTTGTGAATGCTCCGTCCCTGGCAGTGTTCAAGGCCAGGCTGGACGAAGCCTTGGGTGACATGGTTTAGTGTGAGGTGTCCCTGCCCATGGCAGGGGGGTTGGAACTTGATGATCTTAAGGTCCTTTCCAACCCTAACCATTCTATGATTCTATCCAGCTCTTCTTTATTCACAGGTATGTCAACAGATGCAGTGCAGAAGAAAACAGAGCTAGCTAGCTAGAAATAAATACATCTGCTGTACATATTGGATAGAGAGCGCTAGTGAAGCATGAGGGCACAGGAGGAGAACAGCGAAATATTGCAGTAGCAATCACTTCCTGTGGAGCAAAGCCTCAGACTTTTTGTTTATCACTAAATAACCCCAAACCTGTAAAAGACACGCTCATGCAATATATGCAGATACTGTGACATTCGACGCATTAGAGACATTCAAGATTTAAACTGGGCATTTGCAGCCAGCTACCACTGATAATCTGTGGTGAGACATTCTGCAGTCCAGAACTGATTTCAGCAGGAAGCTTTCTCTACCTTTTTAGCATCATCCACCTGCAGCCCTCAAAGATTTTAGGATGCTGTTCAGTGAGAGCCAAATGGGTTTTACCAAAATGAAGCATACAGACCATGGCACAGCACAATCCTGCCCTACTTATCATCCAAGACAAATACAGGAACAAGTGTGGGGTTCTATTAATTCATTGAGAAACATGGATCAACACAGCCAGGCAGATGGGTGAGCTTAAAAACTGCATCCAAGAGCGATGTGGAGTCTTGCTGACCACAGCTGGCCCAATTTAACTCAGACAGTGGCCCGAATGGAACAAGCTGCTTATTCCCCTTGGCAAAGGTGAGATGATGGGAAGAAAAAAAAGTGCACATTTAATAAACTTATACATTAATGTCATAAAACCAAAATTAAAAGCCAATAAGCCAATAAACCAATAAAATCAGTAATTAAGCCCTCTGTAAAGCTTTCTTACCAGGTTTTCATTTACAATTCCATCACTGGCTGCAAAAAATGCCAGAACATGAGAAATAAAGTATTTTTCATCTGCTTTCAGCTTGTTCCAGTGAGGAAGGTCCTTTGACAAATCAACCTAATGAAAAGAAAAGAAAAGCATTATTGCCCTTTGAGTCTGTCACTCTATAAGAACAGAATCAGTCTAGTCAAATAACCAAGGCAGAGTTTTGGATTTTGCTCTCAAATCTTCATATGTAAAGGATTTAAATACATGTGGCTGTAAAAGACAACAGACACACAGCAGTACTGCTGTCTCCCTCTGCAACAGTAACATCATGCGTTTGCTTTGCAGCTTACACTTCGTAATTTAGAATAAAAATCAGTGTCAGTTGAATTGTAAATAAATCAGATTTTGAAAAGCATTAGTATCGTCTTACCATGAGTATGAACATGCACCAATAAGCTGAGTTCATTCTGAGACACTTAAACTCTACTTGAAATAAATGCTGATGCTGCAAGAAACCCATACCCAGGTGTGCCAAACGATGGACTGAGCGGACTTTTGCCTTTGGCAGGTGTTCAGCCTCCATCCTGCCAAAGAATGGCACAGGCCGAATGCTGTGCAACTGCTCTCGTCTACCAGACTGAGCTCTAGCCACAGCAGAAACCACAACTTCCTTGGCAAAGCCTTTTCTGTTTGTTTGTTTGTTTGGAGGGAGGGATTTCTGAACCACAGCAGCAGTTAAGTAGGGCCAGATGTGAAAAATATGGAGGCCTAAAACCATATATGTGTATACGTGTGTGTGTATAAACGTGTACACAGATTGGTGTGTATATAAACACATATACACAAACAAGTTTTACAGCTAACTTTCCAGTTCATTAGGAAATGCACCGTCAGATAGCAGGACAGTGTAAGAAGGAATCATCAATATGGTAAAACGCTGATCAGGCAGGAGTTTTAAATGCCTTTTCTTTTATGGTTTAAATCGACCTCTACTGCAACAGGGCAGCAAGCCAGCAGGGCTAGCAATGGAATAGCACTTCTACAGGCAGCAGCTCCTCACCATCCCAGGACACTGGCCTATTTAGAGACTACCAGTACTTCCAGTTCACTAGCCTGCAACTGCAGATCACTGCTCATACACAAGGAAAGGCTGCAGAAGCTCTGAGTTAGAACAACCAGTTCAGCTGGTAGGTAACCCCTCCCGATCGGTGCAACGTCCATAAGCTTCCTCTGCTGCAAGCGTAGCAACCTGAGTACTGCTCAGGTCTGGCTAACCTGGGAAAACTTACAGCTTGCACTGTAACACAGTAACCAGGGCCATCAGGAGTCAGTGAGAAGCGTTTTATCAAGTGTCCCTAATTATCACCATCTTTCGGGAAATTGGGTGCCTAACACTGAAGACCAGCAATCACATGAAATTACACAGAACATCTTACACAGCCAAGGAACTTGTTGCAGGCACCAACACCACAGCAGGATAGCAGCTACTAGACCACAAATCAGAGCCGTAGAGCTCTCTCTGTAACCAGAGAAGTGCCCCAGGATCAGATTACACCTCTGCTACACTGAACACAGAGCAGATCTGCTGCAACTGCCTGGTGCAAGCAGCTTTTTTTCCAGTGCCCATGAAGGGACTCCTGCTCTGTCAAAGGCACCTCGTGTTTGATGCAATTAACTCCAACCCTTACAACATGGGAGCCAGCAGCAGAGCTAGGAAAGATGCACCAGGACCCCAGTTTGAGTGCCGTGTACCAACCCACTGCTCACCTCTTCTGCAGTCCAAAAGGAGGCCTGAGCCTGTTTATACATTTTCCATATGTCTGGGTACTGGATGGGGAAGATGACAAACCGACGGGGGTTTTTTCTGAGCAGAGGCTCGTCGACAGGGTCCAAGCCATTTTCAGCAGCACTCTGAGGGGAGCTCTGAAGATGAAGCACACACAGATCTTGTTAAGGTTGCCGTTACTTATTCCTTCTCTTCCCCATGTCCCAGAGGCGCGGTTCAGAAGCCACCCATGTCACACAAGACACTCGCCTGCCCCCCTGGGGAACCTGCCCCCTTGTCCTCCATCCGCACTCCCACTGCCAGGGCGGCAGGGCTGCCTGCCTGGGATCCACCGACTGCTCCCTCCCAGGAAGCTCCTGCGTGCAGAGAGGAAGCGTCTCTGCAGCGCAGGGAGGAAATCTGCCCCAGGAGATGGCATCAGCGCTACAGTACGGCACAGGGGAGGTGTGTGCAAGCTGCTGCTGCTGCCAGCCTGCACCCAGCACCGCTGCGCAAGCCTCACCGCCCAGGATACCTCCAGAGCATTTCCTGTACATCAAGCCACTCGGGCTTGGAGGGACTGACTGACTTTAAAATGCCATGAGAGCACAGCAACTAATCCCCTTTGGTAGAGGAACAGCCCTGTGCCACGGCAAGTCTGCAGGGAGGTCTGCCTATGCAGTCCCGAGGGGAGCAGAAGGCAGCCCAAGTCAGCGTGGGTCTAGAGGCTGCTCTTAAGTGCTGGCATGAAGCCGTGTGCCCCTCATTCCAACAGCAGGCAGCAGGAAAAGCCCTGCCTGGACACACCCACCCCACCTCACTCCCGCTGCACAAGCTCTGCCTCACAGAGCCACCAGCCTGGCTGAGGCAGGCCCAGCTATGTTTAGGAGACAGGCCAGTGAAGAGCAGCATGGAGAGGGCACTCCACAAGCAGCACCTTCACCTCACCTCCAGCTGGGAAGACCCATCCCTGGGATCAACATCAGACAGCATCCTTGCCAGGCACGTCACCAAGCACCTACTGAAGACAACCTTGGAGAGCTGTCACGAGAAGGGCTGGCAACTCACACTAACCAAAGTTTGCATGCCAGCAGGATGCCTTTATGTGTTAGTTATGAGATCCCACCTCCACTGCTGTAGAGGATAACTAACCACATGAAGTCTTACATACAATACAGAAGGGAAGGGGAGCAACTGACGACCATTGCTTCTACCCTCCCAGGAGGTGCCCAAAGTCCTTTCCCTACCCAGTCTGCTTGTAATCACTCACACAGTAAAAAACGCTTCATTATTTCAGTTTGGAAAATACCCTCAAACAAATAATTCTACTCACATTTAAAATCAAACCAACCACAAACGCATACGCAGCTTGCATAGCTGGCACACGTACCGCAGAGTCCTAAAGAAAACCCATCAGGAAGCACATTCGGGGTTACAATTTTACCATTTTATTATGTTTTTAAATATTACTCAACTACATGAGACAGATTTCGCAGCACCACCTTGTTGAGTCCCTGCTGAAGGCTACAACAGGGCCAGACCTTTTGGATTTCCTGGGATGCAGAGAGAGTTGCAGTAACCCACTGGAAGTGCCAGAAGGGAGAATGTGGGCTGCGTGGGGAGGGCTCCCCACCTTAGCACACACCTCCTCAGGGCCTGCCACACAGCTGGCACCTCCATCTGTTTCTGCACCAGCCATATCCTTGGGAAGGAAACACTGCAAAAGCCTTCCTTGTTAGCCCAGTGTTTCCCTGAGCCTTTTACCTTTCCATACTGCCTGGGGACTATTCCCAACTATTTTAGCTTCACAAGCTGGACAAGCAGTTGCTTACTCAGCCTTGATGCTCCTAAGCCTGTCAAAAGCCAACATACCCAGCCCATAACACAGGGAGATAACTTGAGAAATACTTCTGGTGTCCAGAAGTGAAGCAGAGCACATGGAGTGAAGTTCCAGTATGGCAGGAAAACTGGAGACCAAGGAGCACTTGTCATGTTTCCAATGGCCTTTAACAGCTGCAGACCACAGAGGGGTCAACACACCAGAAACAGCGTCAGTACACAGTGAGACAGAAAGGCAAGAGAAGAAAAACCCTGTGAAGCAGCGTGTGTGCTCTGTAGAGCCCTCATGGCAGCAAAGCAGAAGGATGACTGGAGAAGGTAACGGTCACTAGGCCAACACACCTCCTGTTTTCAGTCCATACCCAGCACCTTTTCCTTAGTCCTACAATGGTGTATAAAACAACACTCAACATAATAAGGAAGAGCATCCAATTTATAATGTGAACATTCTACTTTCTGTTCAGACAACATGACCCAAATGCACAAAAGAGCTGGGGTTGGCAGACACAGCCCTACCCCTGACCTAGCAGGGTCAGCCAGAGAAGATTGCACAGGACTGCATCCAGCCAAGGTTTTGGTATCTCCAAAGATGGAGACAGCACAACCTCCATGAGCAACCTGTGCCAGTATTTGACCCCCTTCACAATAAACAAGTGCCTTCTTACATGCAAATGGAATCTCCTGTGTTTCAGCAAGTGCCCATTGCCTCTGGTCTCATCATGGGGTACTACCAAGAACAATCTGGCTCCATCACCTTTATTCCGCCAGGCATTTATACACACTGGTGAGATCCCCAGAGCCTTCTCTTCTCCTGGCTAAACAGCCCCAGCACTCATGGCTCCTCTTCTTATGACAGATGTTCCAATCTCTTAACTATCAACCCTTTGCTGGACACAGTGCAGTACATCATATCCCAGTTGTTCTGCAACTGCAACCAACCCTTCTGGTGATGGCAATAAACCCAACAGACAACAAAGACTGCCAAGTGGTACTGGAGCTCTTTCCCTTAATTTCAACACAGCAAACTAGGAAGCAGTTAACATATATACACATACAACCACCACCCCACAGCAACAGCTGTTGGGCTGTGTATACAAGTACTTGGTTATCAGCTGCAGACAGGGAAAACATTAGTGCTGGCAGAGCCAGCGCTGTGATGTGGCACATATCATGTTGTAGTATGTGACCGTGACCTCTTCCACACCCTGGAAGAAGGCAGTAGGTGCATTGCACGAGCTCCCAAGGGCTTCAGGCTGGCCCTGAGTAGCCCAAGCCATGCTAACGGTGACACTGGGAAATAACAGTGCTCTGGGGAGACACAGCTTCCACTGCACAGCACCTGCTGGTTCTGCCTGCTGAAGGGATGCACAGCACTAAAGCTTGCCTCTTGGCAGGCTAGAGCGAGCACCTCTTCACCATACATACATGTGATCAGCATATCGCTGTTCACAGAGAGAAACATTAAGGGTTTTTTCAGGCTTGTATTTAACACAGCAAACCCCAGATTTAGGCAACGTGAGTACTGCTGAGTCGCAAAGGTTTGGGAACATCACGAGGGACTTTCTATTACAGAGATCCTTCACCCTTGCACCTCTCAGCCTGGCTTCGCAGGGTGGTGCTGGGGAGCACCCAGGAGGAGCTCAGTCACCTCCCTGGGCAGCCCCTCTCGGCCCACAGGAACTGGGGGTACAGGGACTGGCTCAGCCCTGCGAGCCCAGGGGGCAGAGCCCTGTGCTGCCCAGGCCGGCGCCAGGAACAAGGGCTGCCAGGCCTGTCCGAGGCCGGGCCTGACTCCCGGCTGTGTTCATACATCACAGGTAAGCTCTGCGTGCTCTCCGCGGCCACGGTACCGCAGGGCACGACCCTCGGGAGCGGGACAAGGACGCGAGGGCGCCCCGTGCCCTTCCCAGGGCCACCACAGGCGCCGCCACGGAGCCGCGTCACAGAGTCACGGGCGGCCGGGGTGACCAGGACCCGTCCACGCCCGCCCCGTGGCCCCCGGGGAGGCGGCGGCAGCTCCCGGCACCCGGCGGTGCGGAGGCCGCGGCGCCCGGCTGGAGCCGGCGGCTCGGGCAGTAGCCGGGCAGGGGCCGGGCCAGAGCCTGCAAGGCCGGAGACGGGACAGCGCCGAGCAGAGCTGCGCTGCCCTCAGCTGGCTCCCGCTAGCCCACCGCACCTCTCCCCGGCGGCTGGTGGGTTCCCCCGCCGCGCGGCAGCGACCGCGCTGACCGGACACCTGCCCCGGAGCCTCGCCGCCCCGACCTTACCGGCTCTGGCCCAGCCGGCTCCTGCAGGGCCGCTTGCCCCCGGCTCTCGCCCATGGCCGGCGGCGACTGGGCCGCAGGAGGGCGGCCGTGGTTGAAGGAGGAACCCTACGGTTGCGGCAGCTGCTCCTCCCCGGGGCGGGGCGGACAACGGCCGCGCTCCCGAGCCCCGCGGCAGAGCTCGAGCGCCCGAGAGCCGGTAAGAGGAGTGGCCGCGGAGCAGGGGCCGCCCCACACCGTCGGGCTGACGGCAGGGAATGGAGAGGGGAAGCGGCCGGTGCTTGCAGCCGGCCTCTGACCTCAGGGCAGACAGCGCAGGAGAATGAGCGCCCTCCGCGGCCGCCGAGAGAGAGGCCGAACCGTGGGGCGGCGGAGCGCTGACCGCAGCTGATGCGTTCAAAACCAAGAACAAAAAATAAACAACCTCCCAAAATTAGGAGAAAATTGTGGACAATCCTCCAAAAGATGAACTAGTGGAGGGAGTTAACCGTTTGGGTCAACTATTTACTCAAGAACATGTTCAGAGTTAAAGATACCAGCGGCAGCTGGCCACTGAGGCAGAACCTGAAGTGCCTGTACCCAGTAAGAAGCAGGCATTCTAAAAGTGTACAGGAGCGACCAACCAATGTACGGAACAGCCTTTAATCCATCCTGAGCTAATACAGAACACCCTCCAGCAACTGTGTAGGAGACATACATGGTTGCAGTGGTTGGAGGTGCTTACAGGGGGTTGCAAGTGCAAACAGGCCTGGTGAAAGTCCCACTGACATTTTGTTTCTGTCACTTCCTGCAAGCACAGAGATTGCATCCAGAGCTGGGACCCAGTTGAGGTCAGGGGTCTTCTCTTCTTTCCTCATCCCAAAGCTGGGCACGTCCTTGGGCCCTGTTCCTGTAGGGATGTGGGTCATTTACTAAAATGCTGAAATAGTCCATAAGAAGAAAAGTCCCACCCACTAGGTAGGGCCTGGTTTGTCATGAAGACCTGACATCAAAGACAACTCTAAAAGCAAACACCGGTGAGCCACAAGGAGCAGTAAGACAGGCGGGGAGCACACAGGCAAGACTGAGCTGTACTTAAAAGAGTCCGAGAGAAATGCCTGGAGCCCAGGGTGGTCCCTTCAGGAGGAGGATGACATGGAGGCCTGGTATTCTCAGTAGAGATGAATCCGTAGACACCGTGTACTATCCTCATGACCGGTGCCAGGTGCTCCCCAGTCCAAGTGCCAACCAAACATCCCCACCACCCCACAGCCAGGGAAAGCACAGTGCACAGGGAGGGCTGCAGGGCATTCTGGTATCCTCTTCCAGAAAGGTAACCTTCACTTTTGTTAGTTCTCTGCCATCTGGAGTTTCAGATTATTTTCTTCAAGGCACCAGGCTGCCACAGAGTGACTGAGACCTTCCCCCTCCCTGCTTCCCAAGCATGGGAAGTGGGAGCTGGGCCAGCTGGGCTCCTCCAGACCATATCTACCTCCTCTTGCTTTTATACCTTTTGTGAGAGGAGCTCAAGCCTCCCCAAGACAGGGTGTGAGGAAGGTTCAGCGAGATCCATGCAACATGGTGACGATGCTCATCCAAAGCTCAAGAACAGCTTTGGTTTTCATATAGTGAGTTTTCTGAGGAGCAAAAACACTGCCCTAAGCAAGAAGTTACTCAGCAGTGCACCAGAAACACGCAAACAGTAAATGAGAAAAGGTGGGTTTATACCAACATCTGCTGTTACCTGTCTAGTGCTCTTTCTGAGCGTCCTGGTTTCAGCACACCGAGTCACCCTTTCAGTGTTATTACCCATGTACCCATACAAGTTGCTTAATATGCATATCCAACAACAGCTCCACTCACTGGCATACAAAGTACCAGGGATTCCAATTTTTTGTCCAGAGCAAATGATTAGAGACACATTGATGTAGAGCAAACCCAACTGACCCATTAACACTGACAAATGACACTGTTGTGTCTAATGCAGTGTGCCGATGGTGTATGAGGGAGACATGTTTCTGGGCAAAACCCACTAAACAGCAAAATTCAGGCATGCTAAAGCTGTCAAATAACACTGTCCTGCCTATCAGTTGTCTTAGCCCCCTAACCCGATTATCCTGGCTGCTCTTACAAAACAAGGGCTTGTCCTGCTGAGTATTTGACAAGGTTTAAGAACTACCACAGATTAAGTATCTTTAGCAACAGAAAGGAGTTTTAGTATCTGGGGATAACTCCTTGAAGTCACACCTGCCCTTTAAGAGATGCACAGCAAACACCTATTTACATAATGCCTAGATTAATATACAAAGGAAAAATACTGCAGAGGAAGTATACCACAAGAATTAACAAAACAGCAGTTGGCTGCTCTTGCACCTCCACAGAAATCCACAAACTTGTTAGCTTTGTTTATATGAATTAGTTACATGTACGTGATACTGAAATATGGAAAAGCACATGTGGATCTGTAAAACAGTTTACAAGCAGAATAATCATACACATCAAATACAGCATTATGCATGACTTCAGGTTACTCAGCTCTACCTACGATGTATTCAGAAGGAGCTCCCCAGCAGGTGGAAGCTGTATTCATTCCTTAGCTCCTAACTGCCCAGTGATGCAGCACAGAACTACAGAATACCAGGCTGGGAAGGACTTCAAGAATCATCTAGTCCAACCTTTCTAGGCAAGCATGATCTAGGGTAGATGACCCAGCTCCCTGTCCTGGTCTACCAGCCTCTTACCTGCACTCGCTCATAATGAACATCGGTGCTAGAAGCTGTGTTTCTGCATGTGATCTGCAGGATCACATCCACTGTCATGTCCTGAGGCAGCACACTGCCAGAACGGGTGTTCCTGCAGGGTGGCCTGTGGCTTCATAACAGCTCTCGCTCTGCTAATTACAATTAATGGAGGTGCAGCAGCAGCACACACCTTTAGTGCACCATTGGACAGACCCAGAGCTCATGGGATTACAGCAGAGCTTTGCATTCCTAAAACTTGCTCTGTCCAAAAGAGTAATTATGATCCACTAAACCCAAACCACCACAATTGCATTTAGCAGTCCTGAAAATAATAAAAGCAATTAAGAAAAAAAAATGTAGTCCATATTAGCAGCGCACTTTTTCATGATAAGGCAAAGTCGGTTACTGATACAGAGTATGTCCCAAAATGTTATGTTCTAAAGCATCCCAAATGCAGTCATCACAGCTTAAAACTGTAATTGCACTTCCCTCCCATTGCCCCAAAAGATATTACTTATTTTAGGAGTGGTTAGATGCCTTTTAAAAATGCTTTGTAAGTATCATTTTCTATATGAAGAATGCCATTTCAGGTAAATTTAAGAATTTTCATATGTAAATTAAAGTGAAATTCACTTAAAACTGTTTTCTTTGGAGTGTCCTCGCAAAGAAAACTAACTACAGGCTGTGGCAGCAACCTACTTTCCAATAGGCTCACATGATTACAGTACTCAAACACACACATTTGTGCTAGCTGCCACTGTCACTAGACAAGGGATACTGAGAAGTTTTACCACAAGAGCAACCGTTTCTTGCTATACTAAATGGTGTATTACTATAATAGTAACTTGTGATATTTAACAACAAAAAAATACCTGTATATTAAGAAAGCCATTGATAAATGGGAGCAAAAGAAGTCCTACAGGCTTGTGTTCCAAGCAAGATATAAAGTTATCCTCCTAAAGACAACTCCACAGAAAATCCTGAAAAAGTATATGAAAAATTAAAAGCTCTCCATGCTGCTCAATTCAGCAAATCTGTCCAATCATAAGCTACTCAAATAGCTCCAAATGAAAACCATAAAAGTAGTTTCCAACTAGGAAGCGACCCGTCGGTGCTCCTGGTGATGCTAGAAGTTCTGCTGGGCAATGAGTACATTGTGATGGAGGCCAGACTCCAGTTGTGATGCCTGTTCTAGCATCTGTTCCTCCCCACACAGACCACGTGGGAACTTCCAGCACTGTGAGTTCAGGAGTCTCTGGAGCTTTTGCTAGAGCCCTTCACCTACACACTTCAATCTGTGTGTGGACATTCAGACCTTGGGATAAGCAAATGCCACACACGCTCAAATCCAGTTAATCCAGGCTTGCAGAATTTTCTGTTGTGTTTGGCAGACCTGTTCTTAAAAAGGCAGTATGAAGAGTTCAGATGAAATCATACAAAGCTTGAAAAGAAAAAGGTAATAAAAGCTACTAAGATAGACAGCCGTAGTTTGCCCTAGAGAGGAAGCCAGAGAAAAGCAAGTGTTACTGAAGCAAAAAATTACAGACATGGAAAAAGCTCAGAATGGCAGTTAGAGATTCACACACAAGACAAGATCCACAGATTATAAGGACACTATAAATGGGAGTTAAAGGAGAACAGCAGCAAGGTTTCTCTGAGAAGGTTGCAACTAACCCACTGCACACTCTCTCACGCAGTGTTAAGCATGATGAAGAGGTATGCAGAATTAGGGCACCCTGGGAGAAGCAGGACTGTAGGGGAGGCGAGTGCTGGGGACTGAGCAGTTCCTAGACCTGCACTCCAGCTACCCAGGGAAGGCTCACTCCTTGCCCTCTGTGCACTTCTCCTTGGGTGTACATGTGGAAGTAAACTCCAGAAAAACAGCAGCTCTGTATACAATTGTGCAAGTTATACGAAGATAGTTTTAAGAGATTAGTAAAATTTCCCTTCCTCTGGCTCCCTGAACGACTGCGGCTGCACAAGAAGGGTATTGCTTTCGATTCACAGACTTGCCACTTTACAGGTTTTTCACTGCATGTTACCTAATGACCAGATGACTAACTTGCAGGAAAGAAAACTTACTCCCAGACCAAACAGATGGGAAAGGCCGCTTGATGGCAAGTCCATCCAATTTTTCACTTCCGGAAAACTAACAAAGCTGGAACACACAAATTTGTTTCTGCATTGGATATAGTCAGCTGAGAACAGAAACCAACAAGAATTAGCCCTAGAAGTTAGAACCAAGGTGTCAGCTCTCCCTAGTTCAGAATAGAAACTAGTCTAGTACTTGGTGATAATGTTTCATTAGGAGCTACCTTTATCTCCTTTTCCAGCAGTTATGCATTTAGGACTATTCAAAAATGTAAACATTACAGGATTTTCTTTTAACTAGTTTCTCTACCTCTTAAAAGTGAACTAACAGAAGGGCTTAAGCCAAAGGGAGATGAGGTGTATGATTTTAATAAACATTTTTCTTATTAAAATCTTGATATAGTTTAAATATACCATACAGAGGAAAAAAGCTATTTATAAAGCTACATACACATTTCAAGTCAATGATGGCAGCATAAATCATTCTAGAGTCCCTCTTCACTTACCAGAATGCCTTGTGTGTGTATATATGGTGAGCTACTGAGTTATCTGTATAATTTCTGTCTAGCTATACATTACACGACTTAAAAAAAAAGTTTAAGCTATATACAAA